CATTCTGTATTTATATTGATATATGGAGTCTTCTGTCGTAATCTAACAGGATCTGAAGGAAGAGAGATAACAAGGTGTAGAGCTGGATGAACACAGCAGGCCAAGCAGCATCAGAGGAGCCAGGAAGGCTGACGTTTCGGGCCTAGACCCTTCTTCAGAAATGGCCTGCTGTGTTCATCCAGCTCTACACCTTGTTACGTCAGATTCTCCAGCATCTGCAGTTCCTACTATCTCTAGGATCTGAAGGGATGTCTGAGACCTAGTGGAACAAAGAAACAGTTGCCACCATCCAAGGCAATCACGGAAGATATAACACTTGCCCGTTTATTTCCTCCTTCCTAACTATCCAAGGCCCCAGACAGACCTTCCAGGTGAAGCAGCAAATTACCTGCACTTCACTCAATCTAGTTTTCTGTATTCAAAGCTCACAATGTGGTCTCTTCAACATTGGGGAGATGAAGCACAGAATGGGCGACCACTTTGCAGAACACCTACATTCTATCCACAGAAATGACCAAGCTTCCGGTTGCCTGTCACTTTAACACACCATTGTGTTCCCTGGCCAACATCTCTGTCTCGGGCTTGCTGCAATGTTCCAGTGACTTCTGGACTCAATGTTGAGTTAAACAATTTTAGGGCTTGAGCACTTTCTCTTTGCCTCAACCCAAACGCACTTGTCATTACATGTGCTGCTTACCACAAACAACCTATTGCTAGCCACTAATGGGTCCCATTAGCAGCTAATTCATTCTCCCAGGCTGACCTTTACCAATTCCTTTTGGTGACCATCTGTTTTCTCTTTCTAAATAAAAACAGGAAGAACTGCGGATGCTGCAAATCAGGAACAAAAACAAAGCTTTTTCCTCAGAACTGAGGAAGGGTCACCGGACCCAAAATGTTAACTCTTTTTTTCCTTCACAAATGCTGCCAGACCCGCTGGGCTTTTCCAACAACTTTGTTTTTGTTTTCTCTTTCTCCGAGCTCCATCTCCACCTACCATTTACTCCTCCCCCCTACCCTCACCCCATCTTCACCATATATTCCAATCTTTTCCTAGCTACAATCAATTCTGAAAAAGAGTCACTGGACACAGAAGGTTAACTGTATTTCTCTCTTCACAGATGCTGTCAGACCTGCAATTTCTGATTTTCTAACAGTTAATCAATACTTTATCAAGGGTTAATTAGGTGAGAAGTGGTTGTATAAATATGGGGAGCTAATAATTAGTGGAGGAAGTGTTTTATGCAGTATAGCTAACTGAAATAATGCTCTCATGAAAAGTGTGTGGACTTGGACTTTATCCAAAGCTACTAGGTTTAGTTATAAACCAAACAAATGGATAACATCATCTTCATTTTATTAGAACGATGTCTCTCTCCTTAAGGATGACAATGCCATTTGTCAAATGAAGTAAAGAACATTCTGAACAACTCAAACATGAATCCACAGTGGCAGCCAATAGTGTCCAGACAATACCCCACTACCCTGGTTTAGAATCCATGGGCCTATCAGCATCAATGGAAAAGCTGCACATGCCATCAAACTGTGCTAGTGAGCATGTGAACAGAGGATTCAGCGAATGAACATGTTGCTGGAAAATACATGTAGGAAGGACAGCCAATTTCTGAGATATTGGCACTGTTTTTTGAGACAGATGGCACCTGTATATGATGGTCAAGTTGCATCTTGGGAGGACTACGGCTAACATCCTCACAGTGAGATTTGCTAGTACTACTGGGCAAGGTTTAACTCAATTAGCAGGTGAATGGGAATCTGAACAGGGGCTTAGATTGAAGGGAAGAAAAACTGGTTGCAGGAAGTAGAAATGTAGCAAGCAACGTTCAAAGGTAGACAAAAAGGAGGCAAGCATCGAATAAGACCAGAATGTCGAATAATGCTAAAAAAGACAAAGTTAAACACAATCTAGATGAAGGCAGTATTCATTACAAGATTGATGATTTGAAAGCACAAATAGAGGCAAATGGGTATGACTTTAATTATCACTATGGAGAACTAGCAGAGTTGGTAACAGGGAGCCAGTGGATGTGGTTTAATTTGAGAAGCCTTTTGATAAAGGCCCTACATGAAAAATTAACCTATAAAGTAACGTTCATGGGATTAGGGGCAGTGTAGTGACATGGGCAGGGAATTGGTTGGCAGACAAAAAGCAGAGTTGGATTAAATGGGTCTTTTTCTGAATGGTGTGTCGTGACTAGAGCTTGGACTTCAGCTATTCACATTATGTCTTAATGATTTAGATGATAGAATTAAGTTTGATCTATTCAAGTTTGCTAACATCACAAAGCTAGGTGGGAGGGTGAACTATAAGGAGGATGCATAGATGTTTCAGTGTGATTTGGACAAGTTGAGTCGGCAAACGCACGACAATGCAACATAATGTGGATAAATATGAGGTTCTCTCACTTTGGTAGCAAAAGCAGGAAGACAGATTATTATCTGAATGGTGACAGATTGGGAAAAGGGGAGATGCAATAAGACCTGAACGTCCTTGCACAGCAGGTGGTGAAGAAGGCAAATGTTATGTTGGCCTGTCACAGTGACAGGATTCGAGTACAGGATCAGGGATATCTTTGTGCAATTGTACAGGGCCTCGGTGAGAACACATTCAGGAGTACTGTGTGCAGTTTTAGTGTCTCTACCCGAGGAAGGATGTTCTGGCAATGAAGAGAGACCTGGATCAGTTAGGAGCACCTGGAGTTTAAAAGTTTGGGGGGTGGATGCGGTTGGCGGAGGAGGTTCTCATAGAAACCATTAAAATTATAAAGGAATTGACAGGATAAATGCAGATGTTCCCAAAGTCTGGGGAGTCCAGAACGAGGGCTCTCAATTTAAGGACACAGGGTAGGCCATTTAGGACTGAAATGAGGAGAAATTTCTTCACTCAGAGAATGGTGAGCCTGTGGAATTCTCTGTGGAAGAGTGCAAGGCAAAATAGTGAAAGTTTTTAAGAAAGAGTTGGATATAGTTCTTAGGGCTAAAAAGGGTTTGAACAGTATGGGGAGAAAGTGGAAACAGTGTACTGAGTTGGATGACCAGCCATGATCATACTGAATGGCTCAAAGGGCCAAATGGTCTACTCCAGTTCCTATTTTCTGTGTTTCGAAATACTGAATGCCACTCCTCCCATCAAAATGGCTCTGTTCTGTGACTACAGATATTGAAACACATCTATTACAGGGAGTTATTATAATCATTTTACAGCAACTCACAGTTCTGATTACAATTTACATAGATGATTTAGATTTGGGACCAAGTGTAGTGTGTCAAAGTTCGCAGATGATGTTAAAATGAGTGGTACAGCGAAGTTTGCAGAGGACACAAAGTCTACAGAGGGCTATCGATAGGTTAAGTGAGTGGGCAAGGGTCTGGCAATGGAGTACAATGTTGGTAAATGTGAAGTCATCCATTTTGGTAGGAATAACAGCAAAATGAACTATTATTTAAATGGTGAAAAATTACAGCATGCTGTGCAGAGTGCAGAGTGACCTGGATGTCCTTGTGCATGAAACACAAAAAGTTGGTTTGCAGGTGCAGCAGGCAATTAAAAAGGCAAATGGAATATTGTCCTTCATTGTTAGAGGGATGGAGTTTAAAAATAGGGAGGTTATGCTGCAGGTGTATAGGGTGCTGGTGAGCCACACCTACAGAACTGCGTCCAGTTTTGGTCTCCTTACCTGAGAAAGGATGTACAGGCACTGGAACGGGTACAGAGGAGATTCACTAGATTGATTCCAGAATTCAGAGGGTTGGTTTATGAGGAGAGATTGAGTAGACTGGGACTATACTCACTGGAATTCAGAAGAATGGAGGGGTGTTGTCTTATAGAAAAATATAAAATTAAATAGGGAATAGATAAGATAGAAGCAGGGAGGTTGTTTTCACTGGCAGGTGAAACTAGAACTAGGGAGCACAGCCTCAAAATAAGGGGGAACAGATTTAGGACTGAGTTGAGGAGGAACTTCTTCACCCAAAAAGTTGTGAATCTATGGAATTCCCTGCCCAGAGAAGAAGTTCAGGCTACCTTGTTGAATGTTTTTAAGGCAAAGGTAGATGGAATTTTGAACAGTAAAGGAATTAAGGGTTATGATGAGCGGGCGGGTAAGTGGAGCTGAGTCCACGAAAAGATCAGCCATGATCTTACTGAATGATGGAGCAGGCTTGATGGACCAGATGGCTTAATCCTGCTTCTATTTCTTATGTTCTTATGATATTAGTTGGAAGGTCAGAGAATCTCAAGGAAGACTGCTAGCCATCAATAAGAACCAAGCCTATTCACTGTAGATGTTGAACCTACATACAAGTATTAAAAACCAACATCAGTAATATGATGTCACTATTCTTCCACAAAAATTCTGATGCCTAGTCACAAGGGGTATAGCCTTTAGCTAGAATAGGCTTTCAAATCATTGCTGCCTGCTGTTTTTCTACATACCTCAGTTTGCAAAGAAACTGCACCATAAGGCAGACTGTAGACAGCAACAATATTTACTGACTCAGAAGGAAACACCGAGAATTAAAAATATTTTCAGTTAAGTGGCAGAACACAGCTAAAGCAGATGGACTTGTTCTCATGTCAATAAACCACCAATCTCTTTGCTTGCGGCCTTGGAAAAGGAACTCTGGAACGATCAGCATTTCTCACCTTCATGTACCTTGCAGCAAAAGAACTGTCAACATATTGCACAGTATCAGAGATCCCACATTTTCAGAATTGTGTCCCTCATTCCTTCTGCTTTGACAAAAAAAAACTGATAGAGCTACTTTTATAATCATATATAAAACTCCTAGATTATTAACTGAGTAATTGTAACATTTGAATGTATTATTTACAGATTTCTTGTTACAAACCCTATTGCCAAGTTGTAACTGCCTGTAGGTTGCATTATAGATAATAGCACCTAATCTTTCAATATAATAATGTTAAATGCAAAAGGCAATGCAGGTCATAAACTGCAGCATGAAAAGCAATGAATTCATACCTTCATAGGAGCTAACTGTATAGGAGTTATACAGGATGGGTCAACCACAGGTTTTGGTCTATTTGCTGTATCTGCAAGCAAACTCTGCCATTGCTGAGGAAGTCCTGTAAACTTCTGCTCATGATGGTCAAATCCAGTATGAACCCGATGTTCAAAGTTAGAAGGTGCAGAGATTTCAAGACGTTTCTTCTTCTTTCCAAACATACTGGAAAATTCTAACAGACCTGCAACAATGAGAGAACAAGACACACTGAAGAGTTTGCCAATCTTAACAACATGATAAAAAGGGGAAAACAAAAGTCACCTGTATCACTGCAAGTGCAACACAAGAGAATCGTTGGTGGGGGGATTTTTTTAATACACTAAATTCTATAATGGTACTATCCAAACTTACACAATTCTCCAGCCTCATTTTCAAGCCCTGCATCCAAACTTACAAAATGTATAAATTACGAATACACAGATAAAATGTCCATTATGATATTAAAGCACACCCTGTTTAGCAGGTTGATGGAGAAGAAATATTAACTGAGGCAACTTTAAAATAAATTATTTTAAGAAATGAATGCTACTTTGATAAGCTTCATGCTATTTTTTTTCTCTGTGGAAGACTGCAAGGTCAAAATAGTGAAAGTTTTCAATTTCTATGCACCAATTATGTTACTTGCTTGAGAACTGTTAAGAATTTGGGTGCAGAAGGTGAGTCACATCTAAAGTGTCCTTGAAATTGTATTGATTAAATTCCAATTCAAATTAGCACCAAAACAGATCACATGAAATTTTGCATGAACCAGTACAATACAACAATGAAATAGAGCATAATGCTATATAATTTTGCTTTCTATTAAGACATATTCTTTTAAGATTTTGAGAGCAGTAATCTGGTAGAGTTTTATTACTATAACTGGGACCTGAGTTAATCAAAGAAAAGCATTTTTACTAAGTGTGCCTGGGAGCAACCCAATTTGAAACTACTGAAAATGTCCTAGTGTTAACTACTCTGAACCATTCAATTGTTTAATGAGTATACAATGGTCAGGTTTAGTAAATACTTTTGTGTTGAAAATTATTTCTTAAAAAAATCTTTATTTGGATCTATGCACCTAAGAAAATCATGCCAATTTGAGGAACCTTCCCAAATTCATTTCATGCTGATTTTTTTTTAAATCCTCTACAGTGGGAGGAGGAAAGATAACAGAGGGATTAATAATGAGATAAGCAAGTCTCAACAACTTGAAAGTCTAGCTGAAAAGTTATGTTTTAAGTTTTTTTATTCAAAGGGTGGCAAGCGAAGTACAGGAGTATAGCAGGAGGTTTCTAAAGAGTGTGGTCAATAAAAATTTTGTTAGGCATACTGGGACGACTGAAATATGCAGTGAGGTTTGTCAGGAGGTGGACTCAAGGGTGCAAGAGCAAGTGAGAGCTATGGAGTTTGCAGAAACAAGGTGTGACAACAATTTAAAAGTTTATTGCAAGAATGTTCAACTCAAAGCATTGAAGCTAACATAGGGCAGAGAAGAAAGGAATTATTTGAATTAGTTGGGAGATCATGGAAGACTGAGCACAAGACTCCTGAGTTGGGGCAAATAGTGCCCCAGGGGATTTAAAACACAACATTAATTAGAGTTTTAACAGCAGTTGGAGAGAGATTTGGGTGAGGGTGTTCATTAAGGAGGTAAACTTAGAGGTGGGCAATGTTTTTACAGGTGGATGTAATCAGCCTTGGATAAAATGAATGCTAAATCATGGCTTGGGTCAAACAGAACACCGAAGTGTCACTCTATATGATTCAAATCCAGCAAATGGGCAGACAAGGGTTGGGATAAATGTTAAAAGTGCACTGTTTATGTTGATGGCTGAAAACAATGCAGTCAGTTTTCCTAATGTCTAATTGATGAATATTTTTGACTCATCCATATCTTAATGCCAGACAGATATGTAGAGTTGTGAAAAGTGAAAATAGAAGAGTGTGCCATCAACATAACATATGGAACCTGACCCCATAAAACAGAAGCATAGAAACATCAAAACAGTAGCCAAATAGAATTATACATCATCTATAAATTATAAACATACTTAATTCACCAATGATGATTCATTGGTATCTTGCACATACAGTTCCTGAAAAGTCAAGACTTGTGATATTTTGCAGAACTTCTTTATATAAAATAAATTGCCATTTTCAAAGGAAAAGAAGGGCTTGCACTTACATATTTTTTATGTCTCAAAGGGCTTTAAAACCAATAAAGTACATTGAAATGTAGTCACTCCTGCAATTTAGGAATATAATTACAATGGAATACCTTTCTCACATAAACTGAAGGGTAAGATTAGCAAACAATGCAGCATGAGTATATGGTGCAGACAGATGATTTGCAGTTAGTAATTCCATCACAGCTTATCAATTTCTATTTATCCACAGTAAAAATAAATCTGAAGAATTTATGAAGGAAAAATAATGTTCCAGTCAGTCAGTCCTTCCTGTCATAATAATCAATTAATCATTAGCAGTAAATAAAGCGTATTTTCCATGCTCAAATTTTATATCCGCTGTACCCGGTGTGGCTTCCTCTACATCGGGGAAACCAAGCG